TGAAACACCCCTAACTGCAGCAGATTCTTATTCACCTTGTTTGTGTGAGAGATTAGTGTTCATATCCAGAAGTGCAGTGAGACGAAAAGTTACTGGAGCCACAGACACCTGCACTGCAACCAGATTACAACGGCAGGACAAGGATGGGATAGAACAGACCCATAGGCAGTGCTGGGCAGGCTCCTCTTCAGGCCTGACTGGAATGGACAGAGGGTTGCTATTAACTGATGGAAGGGAGTTTGGCAGAGGCCCCAGCTTCCTGTCAGGGGCTTGAGCTGATGTGTCCTGCTGCTGTGCTGGTGGTGCTGGCCAAGTTTGTTTCTGTTGAGTCTTGTTCTACCCCTCCCCCACCCTCAGTTCCACAGATGCTGGCTTATTTGCAAGCTCCATGCTGACTGTAGATTGAAAGCCTCCCATTGTTTTTGAACTCAGTGTTTAGATAACTCCACATGCCTGTGGTGGCCAGGGCACCCTGTAAAGGAAATGCCTGGGCTCCAGCAGCCCCCATCTTTCCTTCTCTGGGTATGAGTGAGGGAGTGTGGCTTGTGTTCAGGACATTATAAGATCATCTGTTTCTTTGCAGAGTTTATTACTTGGGGACTTGAGGGATTCTAGGCTTCTCCTTAGTACTTGGAGTTCTGGAAATGGTTTTTGTCTTTCTCTTCATCCATCCATTCCACCCAAGAGGATTGCAGGCTGCTTTATCCAAGCCTTGTTTCTGGATTCAGCAGCAGCACCACAGCATTCCTCTCCTTGGTGAGAAGATTGCTTTGGGAGGGAGAAGTAGGCATGACTGTGGCTAATGCTGGCAAGTTGTTTGGCAGCCGCCCCTCCAATGCTGGTTTTTCAGGGCCATTCTTCCCGTAGGTTATTTTCATTGTCCCCTTAATGTTCCCCATCACTCTCCTACCCCTAAAAGCTTTCACTTGAATGGCTCAGTGGTTAAGAGTACTTAGTACTTTTGTAAAGCACCCAGGTTAGATTCCCAGCACCCACTTGGTGGCTCACAGCCATCTGTAACTCTAGTTCAGGGGGCCTGACACCCTCTTGACCTTTATAGGTATCAGGGGTACATATAATCACATGCTTATTTGCAGGTAAAACATACATACACATAAAGTAAAATAATGTAAAAATTATTTTAAAAACGTGTATCTGGGCTGGGTATGTAGTTCATTTGGTATTGTTTGCTTAGGTTTAGTCTTCAATGCCACATATGATCCTATGTGGCACCTGTAATACCAGCACTCAGGAGGTGGAGACACGAGGTAAGAAAGGCAATCAAGACCTCATCATCAAAAGAAGTTATTTAGAAGCATATTGTATGGCTTTAAAAATGTTATTAACATTATGAAACTACAGATGAAACAAAAATATGTGACTCCTTAGTGAAGCTAGACAAATAAAATTATATGCATTAACCAAAGTATATTTCAAAGCTAAATATAAACCTGGGAATTGAGTCAGCAGGTAAAGGTGGAGCTATGTGGTGGAAGGAGTAATCCAGCTCTCATAGGCTGCAGATTCTCCTTCAAGTTCCACTCAGGTGGCTGTGACCCTGTCACATAATGTATATATATATATGCATTCAAACACACACACATGCATACAATAAGCAAAAGGTAAAAACTAAAAAATTTAAGTTCGAGCCAGCTCAGTGGCGCATGCCTGTAGTCCTAGCACTCTGGAAGGCAGAGGCAGACATCTCTCTGTGAGTTTGAAGCCAGTCTGGTCTACATAATGAGTTCATGGCAGCCAACACTAAACAGATAAACCCTGTCTTGAATTTTTTTTCAAGGTCATTTTAAGGCCAGCCTGTACTGCATGGGGCCCTGCCGAAAATTAAGATAGATAGATAGGTAGATAGATAGATAGATAGATAGATAGATAGATAGATAGATAGATAGATAGATAGATAGATCTTCCAGGCATCAATTTAGGTCTCTCTTTTTGTTTGGTTTTGTTCTTTTGAGACAGGATCTCTCTACATGGCCCCTGGAACTCACTATGTAGAGAGTTCTGTCCAAGTCTTGTTGTGAGTCTGTATGTATTGTCCTCTTCCACCCCCCATGCTGGGATTAAAGGTGTGTGCCCCAATTTAGGTCTCTTAATTGACTGTTAGAACTTAATGTTTTTCCCCTCTAAAGCTGTTAGAATTTCTCCCCCCTTTTCTGTCCCCACCCCTTCTTTCTCTCTTCTTTCTTTCTGTCTTCTTAACACAGAGTCTCACATATCTTATGCTGGCCTCCAACTTACTCTGTAGCCAAGGATAGCTATGAACCTCTGATCCTCCTGCATCTACTGCCCAAGTGCTGGGACTGTAGGCATACACCACTGTGCCTAGTTCATTCAGTACTGAGAATGAAGCCCAGGGCTTGTTGAATGCTAGGCGAAGCACTCTACAAACTACCACATTCCTCAGACTGAGGTCACTTTTCTCTATAGGGCAACAATGTCTGTGTGAAACAAAACAAGTTACTAGCTTTGACGTGGTGTTCTTTTCTACAGTATCACTGACAAACATAGCCTGACTTTTCTATCAGTAATTCAGTCCTCCAAAAAGGGAATCTGAGATTTAAACAAACAAACAAACAAACATATTTGTAGCATGGGCAGTCATCCTCCCATGATAAGATAAGGTCCAAGTAATCAAGAATTCTCTTGATGGTTGGAGAGATGGCTCAGAGGTTAAGAACTCTTGTAAACCACCTGTGTTTGAGGTTCCCAGCATCTTTCTGCTAGCTGTCTGTAACTCAACTTCCAAGAGATACAGTGCCCTCTTCTGGCCTCTGTTGGCACCAGGCATGCACATGGTGCACATACGTATGCATAGACATCCATGCAACACACACACACTAGCAGAGCCAGAATATACCACTGTTTAGGAAAACTAGATAAATAAATTACATGTATTAATCTGAGTATATTTCAAAGCTAAATATAAAGTTGGGAATTGAAAAGCAGGGAAGTGCTGGTGAGATGGCTCAGGACATCTCTGCCAAGCATGACAACCTAAGTTTGATCTCTGAAACATGTGGTAAGAGGAGAGATCCAGATCCTACAAACAGCCTCTGGCCTCCACACATGCACCATGGTGCATGCCCCTCACTCCACAAATGAGTAAATATTCAAAATAAAACAACATTGTTTTAAAGTAAAAGGAAGCAGGTGTAATCTTCCATTGCAATTGGTGATGTGCAAATTAAATATTTAGTATTACCTGTTTGTACCATATATAATACAAATTTTCTTTTTATTTTTTCATTTGTTTGGTTATTTCTTGTTGTTTTAGGTTTGTTTGTTTTTGAAATAGCCTCAGTATGTAGCCTTAGCTGATCTGGCACTCACAACAGAGACCCATTTGCTTCTCATTCCTAAAGGCATGCATCAACAGAGATGGCTATAAAAAATAAATATATTTGATTTGATTTTATATGTATGAGTGTTTTGCTTTGAATATATGTCTGTGCACCACTTGCATGCTTGTGTCTTTGGAGGCCAGAGAGGGTGCTGGATCTCTTGGAACTGGAGTTACAGATGATTGTTGGCTGCCATATGAGCATTGGGGGTCAAATGCAAGTCCTCTAGAAGATGAGCCAGTGCTCTTAACTGCTAAATCATCTCTCCAGTCCCTCTGCCCCCATCTCCACCATGTGAGATCTGGAAACTGAGCTTCAGGTATCAGGCATCAATGTTTTGACAAATTAAAAATAAATGCTTCTTATGCTTATTGAAAATTACTAGAAGAAACACTGAATTCTTGTGTTTCTAATACAAAACTGAAACACTGAAAATGCTTGTTTCTAATATTAAAATCCATATTGAAAGCCAGGTGTGATGGCTCACACACTCGGTAATCTCAACGCTCAGTGAGGTAGAGGTAAGTAGATCACTATGAGTTTGAGACCAGCCTGGTTTATAAACAAGTCTAGGATAGCCAAGGCTACATAGAGAAACCCTATCTCGAAAAACCAAAAAGAAAAAAAAAATCTCATTATTGGCCACTTTGGATAGACACTACTGCATTTTCCAGGGTCTTTTAAATATATGTTTAGGCATGGGTAAACAATTTGATTTTAATGTCTTTCTTTTTGCAAACTGTGTTAATACCGTTTCTATTAATTTTTTACATTTATTTATTTGTGTATGTTTTAGTGTTCATGCCACAGTGTGTGTGTGTGTGTGTGTGCGCGCGCGCACGTATGTGAAAGGACAACTTTCAGGTGACATGTTCTACCATGTGGGTCCCAAGTATCACCCAAGTCCAAAGGTTTGGCAGCAAGTGCCCTTACCTACTAAGCCATCTTGCTGGCCCTTGATAATCTTTCCTTCTAAAATTTATTGAAAATTTACCTTGGGAGGCAGGCTGACATTTTCTTTTACTAAGATAGTTATTCTTTAATGTTTATGTGTGCTTCGTCTACGTGTGTGTCTATGCACATTATCTGGTGGCCATAGAGGCCAGAAGAGGGTATCAGACTAATGGAACTGGAGTTATAGACACTTGTGAGCTGCCATGTGGGTACTGGGAACAGAATCTGGATCCTCTGAAAGAGCAGTCAGTGCTCTTAACCACGGAAATATATCCCTAGCCCCGAGGCTGACATTTTAAATAACTTATTTTAATGTAGCCAAAGAGCCAGCCTTCCTTCCTTCCTTCCTTCCTTCCTTCCTTCTTTCCTTCCTTCCTTCCATCCTTTTTTGTTTTGCTTTGTTTATTGTTTTGTTGTTGTTTGCCTGTTTTTTGAGACAGTGTTTCTCCTGTGTAGCCCTAACTATCTTGAAACTCACTCTGTAGACCAGACTGGCCTTGAATTCAGAGAGTTCTGGGATTAAAGACATAATGCTACCACCAGCCTGCTTTACAGAGCCATTTTCTAATAGAAGATACTTGTGCATTTCAGTGCCCTGTGGTTGGAATTCTGATGCAAGCCTGGACACTGCTTTACAGGCTTCTACCTGTCTGTCTCAGACTTGATCCTCATGCTTTTGTCTTCCAGTTCTCTCCTGCGCTATGGTGGCAACCTGTCTCTCCAAAGTGCCATGAGTGTTCGATTCAACAGCAATGGCACCCAACTCCTGGCCCTGCGGCGCCGCCTGCCCCCTGTCCTCTATGACATCCACTCCCGCCTGCCAGTGTTCCAGTTTGACAATCAGGGTTACTTCAACTCATGCACTATGAAGAGCTGCTGTTTTGCAGGGGATCGTGACCAGGTCAGTGCCTTTACCTTTTGCATCCCTGTGTCTATCTATATTGCTCTCAATTTCTCTTTTGTACCACATGAAGTAGGAACTATTGAGGAGAACAGTGATTTTTATGTTTTGCCTCATAGTGACTGTCTTCATCTAGGATGTCAGGGGGTACATTGAGTCAAGACACACCCTTGTAAACCAAGGCTAGTTACAGCATGGTTCTAAGCAATGAGTTCTGCCACATTTGTGAATGAGTCCTAAGATTCTACGAATGTGCCATTTCAAAAAAGAATTTGTGGCAAATTAGCTTGTCACTGGGAGACATTTCAGTAGCACAGTGATGAATAAGAACCCACACGCCATCCGGAAGACATGGCTTCTTGAATAGCTTTTTAGGGTGACATTATTTTCTTGGATAAAATGGCCTCAAGCAGCCTTGTTTGAGAAAGAGCCAACATCATAACTGGGACTTTCCTACCCTAGCTGTGTGTTTCTAGTTTTTTTCTGGATAATGGGACTGAAGATCCTATGTTGATTTAATGGGTGCAATGTACAGGCTGGAGAGATGGAATAGGGCTTAAGAACACTTGCTCTTCTCCCAGAGGACTGTAGTTGGTTACCACCACTCAAATCAGGCAGCTTATAACTACCTGTAACTCCAGCTCCAGGGGGTCCTATGCCGTCTTCTGGCCTCCAGGAGCACCCCAACACATGCAGCATACATAGACACACAAATGTACACAGAAATAAGTTAAAAAGGTGACAGTTTAAAAATGGACTTGGCACATTTACATCTCTCTGGGCTAAGGGGTTCTGAAGTAGCAGTTGTCAGTGATCACTTGGACTGGCCTCAGTAATTGAACTGAGTAAAGATAGATGTAAAGAATCTATTGCTGGTGATTCTTCATCAATATAACTTTTTCTTTTCAAGGATAATGAATCTTATTGCTGCCTAACATCCAGATTAGGGAAAAAGAAATGCTAATGTTGTGGACCCATCAACTGTCACATTTTGACATTAAATTTGGCATAGGCAGCTGGGTTTGGTGGCACACACCTTTAATCTCAGTACTCTGCTTTGAGGCCAGCCATTTATCTATATAGTGAGTTCCAGCTAGCCAGGACTACACTATAGTCTCACTATTCACTATGTGAGACTCTCTCAAAATTAATTAAAGTCTCATAGGCCATAACTCATCTCTTTAGGAGTATTTGTTTTTGAAAAGAGGTGGAAAAGAAAGAATTCTTTGAGAATCTCAAAAGACTCTGGTTTTTAACTAGAAGGGTTTCTCAAAGCTAAAGTTGCTGATGTTGTAAAGATTAATATTTGAATCAGGAAAAGGGTAAATGCTTAGTGAGTAAAGTAACATGTAGATAGATTATAGAATTGGTGTCCATTTTTAGGATTATTCTTAATTTGGAATTCTAGAGCCTACCAAATTGAGATCTACATTGAACACCACTAGATGGCCTCAGTTATATAAGGGATGTTTCCTAGGAAAAACCACAGATCTAAATGGTTTTGTTTTTGCCTCTGTGACATTACAGACTTAAAACAACAACAAAAAACATTGTGTGTGTTTGTCTGTATGAGCGTAATGGGTACTGTGTGTGTGTTTGAGTCTGCAGAGACCAGGAGAGGGCATTGAATTCTCTGGAAGTAGAATTTGAGCAGGTAGTTTTGAGCCATCATGTGGGTGCTGAGAACCGAAGCCATCTCCTTTGAAAAAGAGCAAGTGCTCTTAACCACTGAGCCATGTCTCCAGCCTGCCATTTCCTTTTTTCCTTTTTTTTTTTTTTTTTTTTTTTTATTAAATCCAGGTTTCATGTTCAGACTGTCCTGGAACTCACCATGTAGCTGAGAAAAACCTTAAACTTGTTAATCCTCTTTTCTTACTTCCTGAGTCAAATGCTGAGGTTCCAGGTATAAGTCCAAGCCCAGTTGATGCTGATCTGGGGGTTGAACCCCCAGGGCTTTGTGCATGAGAAAACACTCTGTCAACTGAGGCACATCCTCAAACACATTTTTTTTTCCTTGAGTGGAAGAAAAATCATATTCTAGATAGGCAGCAATAGCATTCAACTTTCTGCTGTGTAGGATGAGTGATTTGATTCAGTGTTGCTGTGGAAATGTCATCCAGGCTTCCTCCTCTTTCCTTTTTCCTTTTCCTTGTTTTGTTGATCTTTTCTCTCAGTTTTTGTTGTTGTTGTTTTGTTTTTTTTGAGACAGGGTTTCTCTGTGTAGCCCTGGCTGTCCTAGACTCACTTTGTAGACCAGGCTGCCCTCGACTTTAGAGATCTGCCTGCCTGTGCCTCCCTGAGTGCTGGAATTACGGGCATGTGCCACTGTGCCCAGATTTCCCCCCTCATCATTTAACCTGTTATTCATGGGATTCTTAGCTCACTGACTAATAAAGAACATGCAATAAATGTAAGTTTATTCTCTTAGTGCCATGAAAGTAGGCTGAGGTGAAAGAAAATAGATTGTTATATTCTCTTCAGACTCTATATTAGCATCCAAAGCCTGTCTTCACGGTACCCTTAAAATATCCAGCTCAAAGGCCTTTGCCAAAGTAGAGCATGTAGGACTATGGTCCTAGTGCTGTGAATATTTTGGCTGGATGAGTCTTTGCTATGATGGGTTGTTCTGTGCCATACTATATGGGCAGCATCTCTGGCCTCTCCTCACTAGGTGCTAATATTGTCGTTCTCATTTGTCTTCCTGAGAGGCAAAAATGGCCAGACATTGCCAAATGCCCCTTTAAATAGGGAATGTGTTCTCTGGTTGAGAAACTATCGTCTTATATTGTAATTATTCAGCATACCAACGGGCACTGGGGTAGGTATTGCCGGAGTAGAGCCATGTAGTGTGTTTCGAAGATACAACTGGTTTTGCCTTATAGATTAATACATAATGATAAAAAACATTTTCTTTTCTCTATTCATAGTTAATGAGGTTATTATTTATGACTTTTATCTTAGTGGGAGAGTTTGTAGGACATTATAGTCTCTTTAATAAATTACACTGCTTTTTGGTTGCAGTGAATGGTTTTTCTTAGATGAAAGAGGATATAAAAGTTATTGACTCTGGCTTGAATCAGTCTTCAGTCTGCTCTTGTCCCCCTTACAGATTGTCAGAGACATTTAACCTAGTGGATTAGGAAATAGATTTATGTTTGACATTTCTGTTCACTTCTTAGGGACTGAGAAGATAGCTAACTCATCATTGTCTTATCTCCAAGTCCTAGGATGTCTTAAGAGCACACTATAAATATTTGTTGAAGTGACTGTTGATTACTTTGATCAATCTGTGGTGTTTAGCTTTCTGGACAGAAAGCTTCTGTAACTGTAAGTCAGGATTGATAATAATTTTTCCTGCTCAACTTTTAGAGGCCTTGATTAGGATGAATTAAATAATGGATTTACACTATGCAGAGGTAGCACATGCCTTTAATTCTAGCACTCAGGAGGCAGAGGCAGGCAGATCTAGGAATTTGAGGCCAGCCTGGACTACAGAGCAAGTTCTAAGACAGGAAAAAAAAAAAAAAAAAACAAACGAGTAATGGATTTACAGTGAAACTAGTCAACTAAGCTTATAGTTTTAAGAGTGCAAACAGTTTAAGCATTAAACAAACTTACTGTTGTAGTGTTGGAGCATGTCCCTCAGTGGTGATTCATAGGCTCTGACTTTCCATAGTCAAGGCTAACACAGCAGTGGCCAGTTCACAGTGATCTGTACAACTGGCAGTTTTTGACTAGTCCAGACAGGATCTTTATACATAGTGCCCAGTCTGGCCTCAAACTTGCAGTCATAATGTCTCAGCCTTCCATCTAAGTGGGTAGGATTACAGGCATCCACAACCATGCGCAGTTGGTCTTTATATTTGACATCATTCCTGTGTCTATACTCTGAAAACTCCCTCAGCCTGGGGTTCTGTGCTGTGCGTTTTCGTTTAGTCATAGGCTGGATAACCATCCCAGAGAGGAATCTGGGGATTTCCATAATAGGAATAAATGAACATGGATGATCCCATTTATCTGAAACAGCCTTGTAGCTTTTAATTACAAGATTAATCAGGCCCTATTAGTGGATCTGGATATTGTGCCAGAGGCCACACTTATTTTTATTTTTAATTTTTACCATCCTAGGTTTACTAGGTAGTTCATTTACCTCTAAATGAAATCAATGTTTTGATAAATTAGACTTAAGGAATAAAGAGTGAAATAATGCTGAGCCCATGGTGTGTCTTATAAGTTCTAACCATAGAGTTGTCTGAGATCACTTGAACCAACTCTTCCATTTGAGAAAGCTGAGGTTCAGAAACGTAAGGTGTCCAAATCACCATATATATGTTTATGGCTGAGTGAGAACAAGAACGAAGACTCTTAGAAGCAGGACAGACTGCAAAAATTTGTCTGGAGCATACAATAAGGAGTGGTGAAAACTTGTACTTAACTGAAAGGCTTATGTTCTGTTAGGATGGTCTGGCTTCCACTCAGTTTCAGTTCATCACTGCCATGACAGTCTCTGTGTTGCCAGATATCTGATATTTTTTTTTAAACAAAGGTAAATTTTCTTGTGAAATCTTGTTTTTAATTACTGTAACAAATTGATCCTCATTGTAGTAATAGAGCAAATATGTGTACTATCTCTATTCTGATGCAGACCACCATGAGACCTCTGTGTCTCATTCCATGGTGTATTGTACCTTATGTTTGGTTCTATGGTCAGTCTAATTAGTGGGTGAGTGAGAACAGGGCCTTATGCCTATTAAAATAATAACACAGATGTTTGATGAATGTTTATTGTGCTTTAGATACTATGGTGGACCAGTTTACATGACTTTGCATGCTTTGGTTTTCATTCAAAGTCCTTCATATAGTCTGCCTTCCCTGCTTCAGGCTATCAGTGCATGGTTTGTTTATTTTTAGTGTATTTAAATTATCCAAATTTAATAATATTCACTGCTAGATTAAGCAACAGTAGCATTCAACAGAATATCAACAGAAAGAAAACCCTA